GAAAATGACATCACTAGTTATGCACACGGCACTGAGAGTGATGTTATGGTTCCGAGAATTAGCTCGTGGATCCAAGGGCCAGACTCTCCTTATAAGGAAATGGACGCTATAAAGTCACATGATTTTGCCACGCCTGAAGACAATACTATATAAGGGCTGGCATTGTAACCATTCGGGGATGTAAAAACCATTAAGATAGTCCAGTATGCACTGTACGTTTGAGAGCATACCGCTCTCGTAAAGTCAGGGTTTTGATTCCTGTCTTGTAATCAGTTTCATATCTTGATAAAGTAAAGTGTTTGGTTTCACCTCACAAGTTTGGGTCGTCTACCTTATTTCATGCATCCAAGGCTTCAAGGAGTCTTGCCTACCTACACGCCCAACGCTTCGGTTCACAACACGCTATACGACTTCGGCAGGCAGAGTTCAACATCACAGCTGGCCAGTGCATCTCACCTGTTGGAGTAGTGCAATAACATCGCTCCTGTCTTGGTGCAGTAACACCAAGTGGTGGCAGCTATTCACATTACCTTCTACGTTCCCAGACATAGTGACAAACTCCTAACATCCTGAGTTCACGTGTGAATCACCATCCTCAGACACACGAACGTAAACGAACCACACTTCAAAACATTACATGTGTAAGTAAATAATTTTAGTCACGCTCTGCATGTGGTGGAGACTACTCCATGGACAGACCATTGACGAGGCAGAATCAAAGACAGGAATTTATTTTGATGAAATAGGAACTATATTCTTTTACCCTATGAAATGGAAAGTCATTACATACATTAACTTAGAACTGACAAGGGAACTATGGAAACAGACTAAAATTCACCAGAGAGAAGTTACCAATTTTTGTCAGAAATTAAGGAACAAAAACTGGTACCATTACACAGACTGTGCCACATTCGGACAGTACATGAGGTCTAAAAGTAAATATATTGACAATTTAAAAGATTTGGTAGTTGAATATATGACAGACAATCAAAATTCGAACCAAAGATTTAAACGAGGAGTTCTAAATTTTGTAGGCGAAATATCGAAAATTCTATTTGGTATTTTGACACAAGCAGATGCAAGGAACTATAAGAACCACATTTCTAAATTAGATAATTAACAAAAAGAATTTTTGCATTTGTCAAAAGAACAAATGACAATTATCAAAACGACAATCACCTCAGTCAATTCCACACTGCAAAAGGTAAACCAAAATGAGAAAATCATGATAGAAGGTTTAGCCAAAATGCTTAACTATAGCACACATAAGCTTAACGAGATAGAGGAAGAGATAAAGAACGTAAACTTAATTAACAAACAATTCAGGTTAATACCAAGAGGAACAGATGAGAGTCAACATTCGAGATATTAATTGATGCATTCGCCCAGGCCGAACAAGGGTCCCTACAACCGCAACTCATCACCATAGAGAAAATTAAGAATTTTCTGGTCACATAAAAACTGCCAAATTGACTGGACTACCCTAACTTTTCCTCCCCCGAACTGCAGAAAATCATAACTCCCAACACCTACTCTTACAAGCAATTTTTGGCATATATATTGGAAATTCCTTTGTTTTCTCCAACAACTTACAATTTGTATAAAATGTTACCATTTCCAGCAGTAGTAAGCAAAGAATTATCCACATATAGTTACACTGGATTCAATAAATAACTTATATTTAGTGATCCCTTAAGACAACATTACGGTAAAATGACAATCAATGAGTTGACAGGTTGTTTCCAATCAAATGAATTTACATATGTATGTAAGGAAGAAATACCTATATATATATATATNTCACCCTTCAACGTCGATAGTACCAAGAAAATGTGAGTACAATTTCTTTAAATTAAGTAAGACATTTTGGATACCCCTACACCAATGGTTGTTTGTCACACCACAAACAGAAATGTTCAGTGTTATGTCCAAAAGAGACAACCACCTTAAAATTACAGAAGGCAAACTAACTTTAAAACCTGGTTGCAAAGGTCATTCTTCATATGTAACATTGTAGGCATTGTCAATGTTTTACACAAATTTAACAAATGACTATGTGCCTTCTGCACCAATAGACTTCAATTGTTGTTTCGAAGAGTTAGGAAAAGTAAATTTTGAAGACTTACCTCTGCAAATTCCTTTGGTAAATGTAATGTCAAATATGGATGATTTAAGAGTAGCAAGTATTAGGGCAGATGAAGTCCAACAAATGATAATGGATCAGGAAACAAAACATGAGCGAAACTTGTACATGATGGCAACATCATGGGGATCAACACTTGGTGTAATCTTTGTAACAATTCTACGTATCTGCTTAAGTTGTTGCTGCTGTAAATGTTGTAGGAAAAGTTTCTTCTGGTTATGAGGCAAATGGCACCAGAAGGAGTGTTGGAAACAAACACAAGAGAAATGCTGTGTTAGTATTCACAATTATAACGGATCCAGAGTTGAATACGCGAAAACAAACACCTCACCCGCAATCTCCATAAAATCCCTACCTGAACTAGAAAGTCCTGGCACTAGCCAACCTAAGAAGGAGATGGAAGAAAAGCTAAGATTAAAAGATGATCTGGATTCCATATCAAAGAGAACATGAAGCAAGAGTATATTCAGATAAAAGTTTTCACCCCATGGAAAAAACTTTTAACAAGAAGGGGGGCGTAATGAGGAAATGTACTAAGAGTAACAAATCGCATAAAAGTACTGAATAGCCACACATCTTAATTCTATTGTAAAAAAAGTTAACCATTATAAGTAGTACTGTAAAGGAACTATTATAAAACTGTATTAAGAAGTATAAGAAACCAAATGTAAGAAGCCATCATTAAGACCAAACATAGGGCACTTTATATGAAACCTTTAAGCTAAGGAGTTAAGTGATTTAAATGTCGCTGGTCCATAACTACAAATCTGTCAGGACCTTATAATCGTTAGATGAGAGAGAGAGAGCTTGCTATGAGGAAACCACACCACTTGTGACTGTGAGTTTATAAATTTAAAGTATATTCTTTGTTTAAGTGGACTATAAGATTAAGCTGGGATTGATAAACAAACTTTCTAAAAGACACTTCCATGTCGAGCTAATGCACTGGGAACTCTGTTCAATGTCAAAACTAAAGCTTCACTTGTGGATGCCACGTCGCATTCCTTACAGCCAACACCCAGATTAGTCCTATAAGAAGAGACAGGCATGGGTACGCCACACTCAGATCTTACGCTCAACTCTCAAGAGGGCGAAGCTCTGCTTCACTGCAGTTCACTCCGGTCTTATATCTTCTGTTTTTTCCTACCACTTGGTCTATGGATCTTGGTCAAAGTTGTAAATAAATCTACAGCAATCAAGGAGACTTAGCATTCTTTGCTAATCCACGTAAAAGCACTATCTTGAAGACTTGCCTCCATCACCTTCACAGCTAGCAACTTCAACATCAAGGGTGACGTCGAGGTAAAAGCATAACACGTAGATACGGAAGAATCAAACCTATGTATTGATCAAACCGGGCAATATTACTTTGAATTAAGTGACACTGAACTTAATAACTGCAAAATTTTGAATGGTCAATGCCCCGAGCATATTTGAGCGAATTCATTCAACTGTATTGTAGTAATCCCTGTTTGTGGAAGATCAAAAGTAAAGAGTACTTTGATAAAAAAAAATGTTTATAAACAGTTACAACCTCTTAGCAGAAAACACTGCAAGAACCCAAAATGAACAACAGCTCTACTTAGCTTGGCAACAATCCGAGATGGATAAACAGCAGATGCAGTCAACGATTCATAATCTTAATGAACAGCTCAAGGTAATGAAACTAGAACTAGAAACTTTAAAATTAAAATTAAACCAAAATCCAAGTGAAACAATGCCAGAAGTAGAAATGAATGATGATGACCTTGCTGACGATACCAAATGGATAAGAGTTCAAAATAGCAGGAAAAAAGGAAGTTGGCCAATGAAAAATCACAGAAACAAGCTGCAGAACACAAAAACAAAGGAAATGCTACTGGTTCAGTCACAAACCCCCACCCTTTATGATAACAGGTGTTGAAACTCACGAGGACTTGACCTCAATTATAAAACAAGTTATTGGTGAAGAACAATATCAAACAAAGCTAATGAATAATGGTATATACAAAATAAAGGCATCAAGTGATTACGCATAGAGAATGTTAACAAAAACTCTGAAAAACAATAATATACATTGGTTCTCTTATGAAAACAAGCAGACCAGAGATATTAAAGTTATGATTAAGAATTTAAATGATTCTTACCAACCAGTAAATTTAATGAACAAGGTTTTCAAGCACTGAATGCCACACCAAAGTTAAAGTGGTAAACTAAAGAACCATTAGATATGGTTTTCTTGGACGGATTAACAACAGAAGTCTAGGCATACCGTTAGACTATACTTGTTGGACTTCTTCACAATTTCCACAACAGGAATGTCTCACAGCACTGAACAGTTTTCTATCAGCCAACTTTGAGTTAAGAAGACATCTCTTCATGATCTGTGTTTCAGTGGCGGCCTGGCACTTTTCGACTGCTATTGCAATTAATTTGCATCATAATTTTGCGAGTGTTCCTAACAGTCTCGCTTTTTCAATCATCATAAATTATAGGATTTAGCTGGAAGCCCCCTCCCCCAAGATGGAACCTCAAAAACAAGCCCGATACTCAGAACTCCTCGATGCTGAAGAACTGCAGGAAATATTGCTGGAAGATGAATCTGATGAAGAGTTGGAAGAACTCGATGAGGTCATTGAACCTTACGAGCATATGTCGTCATCGTCGTCATCATCATCCTCAAGTACTGAGGCAGGGGAAATTGAGATCAGGTTTCATGATAGAAGACCCGGGGATTCGCCAAAGCTACTAGATTTCACTGGTCCTCTGAGTGGAATCAACAGATCTGCTGCTCCCAATATAAATAATTCAAATGGGCCATGATCAGCGGGACACCCTGAAAGATGAGCAGTACTACACTCCATTCTATCATAACACCATGGTACGCGACTGTTTCTTCCATATTTTGAGATTCCTGCATTTTGAGAATAATGAAGCTCCTCCAAATCGAGATGACCCAGAGTACGATAGGCTCTGGAAGATTAGAAAAATTTTCAACAATCTTAACAGCAAATTTTGTGAACTTTACTATCCATCAGAACATCTTGCTGTTGATGAAGTGATAGTGCTGTTCAAAGGGAGTGTTTTTTGGCAGTATATTCCAAAGAAACACAAAAGATTTGGAATAAAAATTTACAAGCTTTGCGATTCTCTGGGCAATACATATGACATGGCTGTTTATTTGGGGAAACAAAGGAAACTTGCAACCGAAGAAATTACATCAACCCATGGCATTGTTCTCCAGCTAATTCAAAGAGTAGAAGGCTCAGGACACAAACTTTATATGGACAGCTATTTTAGTTCCCCTGCATTGTATGACGATCTTCTAGAGCGTAAAATAAATGTGTGTGGCACCATTTGCAATGAGAGGCGTGGGAATGCCNTGGTCCTCTGAGTGGAATCAACAGATCTGCTGCTCCCAATATAAATAATTCAAATGGGCCATGATCAGCGGGACACCCTGAAAGATGAGCAGTACTACACTCCATTCTATCATAACACCATGGTACGCGACCGTTTCTTCCATATTTTGAGATTCCTGCATTTTGAGAATAATGAAGCTCCTCCAAATCGAGATGACCCAGAGTACGATAGGCTCTGGAAGATTAGAAAAATTTTCAACAATCTTAACAGCAAATTTTGTGAACTTTACTATCCATCAGAACATCTTGCTGTTGATGAAGTGATAGTGCTGTTCAAAGGGAGTGTTTTTTGGCAGTATACTCCAAAGAAACACAAAAGATTTGGAATAAAAATTTACAAGCTTTGCGATTCTCTGGGCAATACATATGACATGGCTGTTTATTTGGGGAAACAAAGGAAACTTGCAACCGAAGAAATTACATCAACCCATGGCATTGTTCTCCAGCTAATTCAAAGAGTAGAAGGCTCAGGACACAAACTTTATATGGACAGCTATTTTAGTTCCCCTGCATTGTATGACGATCTTCTAGAGCGTAAAATAAATGTGTGTGGCACCATTTGCAATGAGAGGCGTGGGAATGCCACAAGAAATTTGGCCCAAATCGATGAAATTGAAAAAAAAAAAAAAGGATATTGTGACAAGAGTGAAGGGGAATCTAAGTGTTGTTCGTTGGAAAGACAAGCATTATGTGTATGTTCTGACGAATATGCACCCTCCTCCATTGGAGGAGATGAATCTGGCCATGCTATCAAACCTCATGTAATTGAAGACTACAATGCACACATGGGCTTTGTGGACAAATCTGATAGAATGGTGAACAGCTATGGCATTGCTAGGAGGACATGGAAAGGGACGAAGAAATTATTTTCCCACCTCCTAGACATGACTATTCTCAATGCATATCTGTTACACAAGTCATGTGATGGAAAAATGACGCACAAAAAATTCCGCGAAATTCTGGTGCGTGATTTGATTCTTCAATCACGAATATCACGGTCAGTGGCGTTTCTTGGGGGGAGGCCAAGTTCACCTGGGGCCCAAGTGAGTCGACTGGAGCTGATACATTAAAAACACTGGCCAGCTAAAGGGAAACAAAGACGTCGCATTTGTTCTATAAACAAGAAAAGCAGGAGCACACTTTTCTGCAGTAAAAAGTGTGATGTTGCGCTGTGTGTGGTGGACTGCTTCGAGAAGTGGCACATGCGCGTCAGAGTGTAAACTGTGAAGTGACGCAGTCCAAACCGTGTACAGCCTGAACCAAATATTATTGTAGTGCGGCAATAAAGAAACCAGATTACTTTTATGACTCATTTCGGGCCATGTCGATGACGAAGAGGAGGGTAGGGCGTGGACTTCCCTCTACCGTCACACAAAGTTTCATTCACGCGCATTGGCTAGTCTGGCTGCGACCATTGTTAGAAGCGGATCGTGTGTATGAGCTCCGTCGGAATAATGCTGAGTGCTAATGTAGAAGGTGTTAACATCAAATTCCTCACAAAACTTGGAAAATCTGCCACTGAAACTTACAATTTGTTGACAGAAGTATATGGAGATCAGTGTCTATCTCGCACGCAAGTTTTCGAGTGGTTTAAGAAGTTTATGGAGGGTAGGAAAAACGTCAGGAACGATCCAAAATTGGGCTGTCCTTCCACTGCGAAAACTCCAGAGAATGTGGAGAAGGTCGCTAGAATTGTTCAAAGAGATCGTCGACTGAGCATTCGAGCAATTTCTGAACTTACGAACATCAATAAGGAAAGTGTTAGACAGATTTTGCACGACGATCTGGGCATGAAAAAGGTGTGTGCTAAAGTGGTGCCAAAAATCCTTACCCCCCAGCAAAAGGAACATCGAGTGAATTGCTGTGTTGACACTCTTGAAAACATTGAAAATGATCCTGATTTCTTCCAAAACGTAATTACGTGTGACAAAACTTGGATTCTTCAATATGATCCAGAGACTAAGCGACAATCCATGCATTGGAAGAGCCCCAAATCCCCTAGGAAGAAGAAAGCGCGCATGAGCAAGTCCAAATTCAAAGCAATGATGATTGTTTTTTTCGAAATCCATGGGGTAATCTACATTGATTTGGGTGCCTGAAGGTCAGACTGTCAATCAGGTTTATTATAAAAATGTTCTAACGACCCTCCGTGAACGTGTGCGACAAAGGAGACCAGACATGTGGAACGATGCCTCATGGGTTCTTCATCACGACAACGCGCTATCTGTGAAGAGGTATTTGGCAAAAAAGAACATTCCAGTGATGGAACATCCACTGTATTCTCCGGATCTAGCACCTTGGGACTTTTTTCTCTTCCCGAAAATCAAGTCTGCGCTCAAAGGGACCAGGTTTGAGTCCGTGGATGCAGTGAAAGGAAAAGCAACGCAACTCTTGAAGAGCATAACAGAAGATGACCTGCAGCACTGCTTCCAACAGTGGAAAATTCGCATGGAGTGGTGTAGGGATCAGGGAGGGGACTACATTGAAGGGGATAACATTTCGATTGTCTGATTTTTTTTCAATAAAGGGTTAGAGCATGAATCCGATTTCTTTATTGCCGCACCTTGTATATAGTGTCATCATATTTACATCACCACCACGATTCAGGTTGAAGAAAAATAACGGGTAAGTCCTTTAGAATTTCGTAACGTATATAATAACGATTATATTTTGCATTTCATGATAAAATAATCACAGTTAATTTTCATTTGTAAAACTTGCCCTTTTGTGTATATGTAGAAAATTGTATTGCCTTTCAGGTTCTTTTTAGTTCACATTCCGATGTTGCATAGAACGGAAAATATGCATTTTTTTCTGAAAGTCTGCAATGTTAAAGACTTAGGGCCATTTAAATTCCGGCCGTAGGGAGCTGCCGGCAATTTAAGAATCTGTACGTTTGTACCAATCACCCAGTTCTAGAGTTAAATGTTTCAGTAAATTTATATGCGAGAGGTTATTTCATTTAAGTAACAGCCTTTGCCCATTTTGACCTAGTCCTCTTCTTTTTAGTTTCTGATCTCAAAGGTAACGCTAGAGCGGTGTAAATTAAAAGTTCCCCCAACATGTTGCTCTGTGCACGATCCTCCAAAACTGAGCGCAAGAGTGGGAACAAAACGGATTGTTTGTGCCTGCTCTTCCTGGCGTTGTCTTACAACTGCGCAGGCAAAACGGACGCCCCTAAGCTTGAGCTGGCCGGAGTTTATTTAAATGCCCGCTGCTGCTGTGTAAATGTCTGTTCTTGTTAGGGTGCTTAAATAATTTTAAGCATTATGTTTAAAAATGCCGTATCTAACACAATTTTTAAGATAAAAGGATGGAATTAACTTTTCTTTTGTATCAGCAAAGAACATAGTGTTGCATATTATATGATTTGCAAATTTTTATACAAAGAGTTATACGCTATTTTCACATACAGGCAGGGTCCAAAAAATGCACTCACTCACTTCTTCACAGAGTAGTTCTGCATTATAAAATCATTCCTGCTTGTAACTCTTTAACATATCTTAGCAGTCCCTGGTGTCATAAAACAGATGGAAGCAATAAAATCATTTGATTCTTTTGAATCTTTTGACTAAAGGACAGAAGAATGAAAGCAAGGCTATTCAAGAAACAGCTAGAGGGGTCCCTTCTTCAGTGCTAAGACCTTCAGTTGTAGCTGCATGAGATTACTGCCCTTTCTATGGGCGTGAACAGACAGTTGCATTGTGGCTGAGATAGAGTGCGATCTGTTTTCTGTGCGTTCATAGTGAAATCGAATGCTGTAATTTCATTTCATCTTACCATGACAATGGAACATCGTTTGGAAACTGATGAAATTGAAAGGCAACTGATATTCGTTTCTGATTCGGACCGCTGCACAGAAGATGAAGACAATGATTGGGGCTATGAAGAAGTCGTCAAGCCATCACCATCATCATGGGGACCACCACAACAGCATTGCAGAAGGGCTGCGAATAAATCTCAACGAAGCTCCACACGTGAATAAGGATTCCACTCCACTCTGCGTGTTCATGTTATTCTCGACAGGAACTACCCCATCTGCTGGTGGAAGAAACCAACAGATATCATCACCAGTATCTCTATAGCCTTGAAGACGGACCCTCTCCACTCTGATGTTACCGATTCCGAAATGTTTCTTTTTCTATGGATCATTATTCAAATGGGTCATGACATTAGAGACAGAATATGAGAGGACTGGGCGACTACTGATCAATTTCTCACACCTTTCTACAGTAACGATGGCAGTAATACAGATCCCATAAGCGGATGAGTGTAAGTCGAGCTTATCGTGTGCAATTTGTGCAAGTGCAACACCAGCTGCTTGAAAGCCGAAACTGGATCCGATTGTGTGAATTTCTAAAGCCGAGTGCCTGTAAGAAGAGCAATAAAGTGTTGTAGGAATACAGTGACTTGTGTTGGTTAGAGGTGCTTCATCCTCACTTGTCCGAGCCTGACCCGTAGCCAACCTGAGGAGAGACTCATCACCACGGGCTAGTCAAACCCATTGCCAGCTTTCACCCACTCACGCCTTCCCCCCTTTACAATGAATTGCATACCATCAGGTCCCATCCTGAAATTAAACCCCTCTGTAATCTCAACGGAAGGAAGAAGAGGTGGAGCCTGGTCAAGCTGGAACCAGCCACAGCCCAGCCACTTCAGCAGCGGCAGCACCAGGTAGGGCAGTCAAAGGTGGCGACAAACTTGTGGGGCTTGAAGCCTCGAAGAAGAAGCAGGTTAAAAGGCGTCGCCCAACGTGTAAGCTAACGGTTATACGGGGGGGGGAAAAAAAAGAAGGGATTTTAGTCTTTTTTCATTAAACTTGTACAGAGCGCCGCCCGGGAATCGGACCTTTTTCAAATGAACAGTACTCAGCCCATTTTCAACTTAAAAGCGAATTTATGACAGAAATTTACAGGTCCTGCTGATGATGCCCGTCCTCCTCCCGGGAATAGGACGTTTTTGAAACGGTTAGTATTCAGTCAATGGTGATGCGAGGGAGAATGGGGGTCATTCACCTTCTAACCGAATGCCATTTTAGTTACAATGGAGCAGTGGACGTTGCAACACCGCGTGTTCGTGTATGACGCGTTCGTACGAAATGGCAAGCCTGTCACAGCTGCGCAGCGGCTTTTTCAGAAACAGTTTAATGTTGGTCGACATGGGGCTGTTCCCAGTTGGAACACAATTCTGAGATGGGTTGCAAATTTGACAACGACTGGGAACTCTCTCCGTTGGACCTCCCACACAGCACTTCGTGAAGCAGTACATGGACTCCAAGCCCATTGCCTGGGCTGAGATGCAGCAGCATTGAGAGGACTGATCTGGTTTTCAACTAACTGCACATCGGAACCAACAACCATCACACTTTATGTCGACTCAGCCAGTGTATATCATACTCTTGTCAAGGGGACCGGAGTTACACTCTGGTCCTCTACTTTACTTCAACAATTATACATTATGTGGTTAAAGAATAAAATACGGGCAGGCTACTGCCTGGTTGTCAGATGGGTCCCATCTGGTCAGAATCTGGCGGACCCCCTCTCCCGAGGAGTACTCGCCCGCTAATTAACAGGGTCCCCCAGCCTGTATGTAAGCGGGACCTCTGGAGAGGCAAGGGAAGTCAGTCAGTTCACGACCAGGGACCTGCTGCAACACACAGAGGATGATGCTGTCATTGGTGAGCCCTTCTTGTCTGTTGCAGTTGTTATTAAATTGGAAGGAGCGTTGTGATAGAATGGTGTCTGTTATGTTCTCTCTTTCTCTGAGTGTGTAATGTTGTGTTGTGGTGGTTTAGTATGGTCACTTTTATGGTGGTGACCTTCCTTGTTGGTATGTATTTTTATAATTCATCGCCAGTGGTAGTTCTGTCAAGGAGCCACCAAGCAAGTGCTTCTTGCTGGAAATCATAAAAGTATCAGATTTCAGAAATTAAGTTCCTTCCCCGTTGTGACCAGCTGACAAAAAGAAAGACACTTGCGCATCAACATCTGGAAAAGAGATCCTTCAACCCTATCTGCAAGATACTAGGGTTGGATAAAAAGTAGTGGCAACACTGCTGTAACATGAAAGA